GACCTGGTGATGACCTGGTGGTGACCTGGTGGTAACCTGGTGGTGACCTGGTGGTAACCTGGTGGTGACCTGGTGGTGACCTGGTGGTGACCTTGTGGTGACCTGATGGTGACCTGGTGGTGACCTTGTGGTGACCTGATGGTGACCTGGTGGTGACCTTGTGGTGACCTGATGGTGACCTGGTGGTGACCTTGTGGTGACCTGGTTGTGACCTTGTGGTAACCTGGTGGTGATCAGGTGGTGACCTGGTGATGACCTGGTGATGACCTGGTAGTGACCTGGTGGTGACCTGGTGATGACCCTGTGGTGACCTTGTGGTGACCTGGTGATGATCTGGTTGTTACCTGGTGGTGACCTGGTGGTGACCTGGTTGTTACCTGGTTGTTACCTGGTGGTGACCTGGTTGTGACCTGGTGGTGACCTGGGTTTGAGATCTGTTAAACATATAGTTCAGTGATTATTGAACGATCAACCACAGAGGGTGATTGTTAAATGCCAATCTAACCAACTTTCATAAATACACTGACTGACGTGTGTCCCATATAACCAGTGTTCGAGATATCGTAAACAGTTCCATTAATATGCGTTTACAAAGCTGAAATGCAATTCTCATTAGAACAAGAATTGAGATGCAAGAGACGCTCAACCTCAACACAAATAGAAGACAGAAATTTTATATTCTTAAAACGATGACGAACAACTGGAACTAACTACAGAGTCAAATTAGAAGTGAAATACACAGTCAGTCTCAAGTGTAAAGACAATACCGAGGGAGCTGGTGTCGTGGTGGTGTAGGTGAATCCTTGCTAAAACGGCATATGTGTTGTGAAGGTGGAAAGTCGGCGGGCCCTACAGTAAGCTTATGAATTTCGACTCTACAAGAGGAGCTAGGTGAGTACACAAGTGGTTGTCTTGACCGTTATGCTGGATGTCATTCCTCGTCATATATTGACCTGGGGCTGGGTGCCAGAGGGAGGGAGGAGGAGGGAAGGAGTGAGAGATGAAGGGAGAGAAGGAAGATGGAGAAGAGAGGTAGAGGGCGGAAGTAAGAAGGTGAAATAACCTTTTCCTTATACAATATATAAGTATAACCAAAATATATATAACCTTTTACTTATACAAGAAAGGAAATGCCGACTACCACCAGGTTCATTAATTACACACGTACTTGCAGTAATTCCTTCCTGACGTGACAACCAGTCAACCGAACACATGAAGACTCTGGAACACGGCTGGCTGGTGGCACATAGTGATAGCACACTCCACCAACGCCTCACCAGCGATTTTGTGTGGGTTCGAGTCCCGACCAAGCAAGATTGACTGGGCGCCAATTGTGGAGCTGTTTGCTAATCGATTGGCGGATGATGTTTCAGGGTGAAGTATGTGGGGCTTACCATGAACTATGGCAACGGAAAGTTATCGTCCTGCTAACTGGAGTAAACCTGTATGAGAGAGAGAGAGAGGAGGGGGGGGGTTGTCCCCACTGACCCGGCCGACCACAGGGAGATCAAAGCAACATAACACAGTCCCCACAGGCAGTGTAGCACCCCAGACTGTCCTCCCACAGTCCCCACAGGCAGTGTAGCACCCCAGACTGTCCTCCCACAGACCCTACAGGCAGTGTAGAGTAGTAGGGGTGACAGCGTATGCGCCTCATTGGATTTTGGGCAAAAGAGGACGATATGACACACCGTTTTCACCGAACTTTGGAAAGAGGACGCTGAGTCACACCGTATTCAACGAACATTTTAAGAAAGGGGCAATTTGGAATTAAAGAGTTCTTATGAGGAAAATAATTTCATAGAAGTGTGTTAAGAGTTCTTATGGGAGAAATTCAAATTTGTCAGAGTTCGTATTATCACAGGAGTTTATTTAAGAGTTTATGACCGAAATTTAGAAAAAACAACTGTTTTCAGAAAATATGTTAATAGAAGTTTTGTTAAGGAAAACAGACATCTTAGCCGTAACTTTTAGTTTGTATATCGATTTAGGCTGTTTCACGTGTAAAGATCGAAAATTTATGCCTGAAAATAATCAGAGTCCAATTTATGCCTGCAAATAATCAGAGTCCCGTAAACACCAAAACTTAGTCAGAGTCTAGTTGTAACGTTAGGAACGTTATGATAGGTAAGTAACATTAGGTAGGATTATGCAGTGTTGTTTAGAGAACAGTTTTAAGGCAAAGTGACTAAGAAAATATATATATTTTAACATAAATGCAAGTTTGATATGAAAAGCCGAACTAGTTATAATTTGGAGAGAAATTTTATGCCTGAAGATGTCTTAGAGAACAACATTGATGTCTTTGAGAACAACTTTGATGAACAAAGATGTCTTAAAAAGCTTCTCTGATGAACGATAGGTTACTTAGAGAATAACTTTGATGACTGTATTTAACTTTTTTGATGGCTCTGAGGACAGCTTTGTTGAACGAGCATGTCTCAGAAGGCTTCTCTGAATAACGAAGGTGACTCTGAGAATAACTTTGATGTCTTAGAGAACAACTTTTGTTAGCTCTGAGATTAACTTTGATGACTTAGAGATTAACTTTGAGGATATGAGAATATCTTTGATGACTTTGAGAATGACTTTTGAGAACATGAGTAGTATTTTGATAGCTCAGAGACTAACTTTTGATGACAGAGAATAACTTTGATGAACGAAGAGTGTCTTTGATTTCTCACAGAGTAGCTTGGGTGTGTCTGAGTGTGTCCTTGATGTCTCGAAGAGTTCCTTTGACTATTTTTCTTACTCATTGAGATATACTGTTAGTTACAAAAGTGTAGGACGATGTTCCATTTGACTATTTTTAGTTGAGGAAAGACAAGAAAATATGATGACGGAGACTATTTTTTGCGCTCCACAAAGTATAATGTCAGTTAAGAACAGCGATGAAAGATATCTTTGGCTATTTTTCTTACTTGACGAAACATAATGGCTGTTAAGAAATGATGAACAAGACTAATTTCAGTTACGTGACGATGGATAAAGTTAGTTATGAACAGTGTGGGTAAGAAATATTAGGTTGACTATGAGAATTACTTTGATGTAGTTTTACAAATAAAACTGGGTGACTAAATTTGTTGGGGGAACTGTATTGCGGTTGATAATATTTGACAAAGAACTAGTTACTGAATGGAAGAAACAATTGGTTTAAAGAAACAAAGAACATAAAAAATTGAGACTAAGTAAGGGAATGAACACAGTGAACATACGGGGAACACAGAAAACATGTAAGAAACCTGATGAACACGGTAAACATAAGGGGAATATGAACTTACACAGAACATGAAGACATGATAAGGAACATAGGGAATACAAAGAATGAACATTGAAAATGTGAAGAAACATGCTAAGAACATTGGGAACATAAATATTGAGTATAAAATTTGTACAGAGAACATACGATAAACATGAAAACATGACAAAGAACACAGTGAACATACGGGGAAAATGGCAAAAACAGAGAAAAAATGGAGAAAACTGGTGAAAAAAATATGAACTGAACATGCTGTGAATACTTGCTGAATATGTAGTGAACACAGAAAACATGGAAGAGAGCACGGTGAATATAGAGAAAATATATAAATACAGTAGGATTATTGAAGGTTTGGATAAGTTGGGAAATGGGAGAGATGAAGGAGGTGGTAAGGGATAAGAAAGTAAGGGGGAGTAGGGGGGTGAGGGTGAGATGAAGGGTGAAAGGGCGTTGGGGGAGGTAAAGGAAGGGAAGGTAAGGGAAGGAAAGGGTAAGGTGCGATTTTTGACCGTGTGAATATTACATAGCTGAGTACAAAAAGGGTATTAAAGGCCATGATGTTTACTTTTGATAGAATGGAGAGGGACTTGATCTGAAATTATTTTGATGAAGATTGAACTAAGTGAAGAACGTGAGTTGGAACTCGGTAATTTCCTTTTGATTTGTTTGTAGGGGGTCTGAAAATGTAGTTGGGTGTTTAAATCTCTGGGTATTTGGACTGACAGTAGTGAATTTACAGGAGTGAACTTGGACAGAGGACAAGAGCTAGTGTTCGGAAACACTATTTTTCTTTATTTACTTAGACAGAAGTACGACGGGTTTAAATTTCAGGAAAATTTATGGGTTAATAACAAAGATACGAGAGAGAACTAAGGTGGGGGACGAGAGCGCTGGAGCTTGTAAACTGTTTTGATTTGATTTACTACGTTTGAAGTATGTCTGCTTTAAATTTCGGGAAAATTGGTCTGTTACTAAAGAACTTGTACAAATGAACTAAGGTGGAGGAAAAGAGCTGGAGCTCGGTAACTGACTTGATCTTATTTACTGTATCTGAAATACAGGGGGTTTAAATTTCAGCAAAAATGATGGGTTATTAACGAAGATGCGAGGGAGCTAAGGTGGAGAACAAGAGCTAGAGTTCGGTAAATGTGTTATCTTTACTTACTCAGTTAGAAGTATGGCGGGTTTAAATTTTTTGAAAATTAATGGGTTATTAACGAAGATACGAGAGAGCTAAGGCGGTGGTCAAGAGCTAGAACTCAGTAATTGATCGGATCTTATTTACTACGTCTGAAGTATGACTGTTTAAAATTTCAGGGGGATTGGACTGCTAGTAAAGATGATACAGGGATACACTAAGGCAGAGACAGGAGCTGGAGTTTGCTTACTGACTCTAACAAATTTTGGCCTAGAAACGGTCTCTGATGAAAATTGGTCTGAATATTTCTTGGCTCAAACTGAACTCTGTTAATTTTTTAGTCTCTATTGGACTCTGACAATATTTTAATTTCCTCCATAAGAACTTTTAAGAATGCAGGTTTAAGTAAAACTCTGAAATATTTCGGTTTCAAAGTGGTCTCTGACTATTTTTTCGGTCTTTAGGGGACTCTGTTACAATCTGGTCTTCTATGGACTCTGCCTAATTTTCGGTAATGAACTGGACTCTGATTAATTTTCATAAATTATAGGACTTTGAATATTTTTGGGCACAAACTAGCCTCTGACGAATTTTTGGTATAAACTGGACTCTGACTAATTTTCGGTGTTGACAGGACTCTGACAAATTTCTGTCTACAACAAGACTCTGACTAAATTTTGGTGTTTACGGGACTCTGATTATTTTCGGGTATAAACTGGACTCTGATTATTTGCAGGCATAAATTGGACTCTGATTATTTTCAGGCATAGATTGGACTCTGGCGAATTTTTGGTCTTTACACGTGAAACAGTCATAAATCGATATACAAACTAAAAGTTATGGCTAAGATGTCTGTTTTCCTTAACAAAATTTCTATTAACATATTCTCTGAAAACGTTTTTTTTTCTAAATTTCGGTCGTAAACTCCTGTGATAATACGAACTCTGACAAATTTGAATTTACCCCATAAGAACTCTTAACAAACTTCTATGAAATTATTTTCCTTATAAGAACTCTTAACAAACTTCTAAGTTCTCTGAAATTATTTTTCTCATAAGAAACCTTTAATTCCAAATCTGTGACTGGCCAAATTTACCTGAAACCCTGACCCCTTAAACGCGAATGGTGGATTTGACTTGGAACCCCCGACACCTTAAACGCGAATTTCCCCCCCAAAAAAAATCGTGTTTACGGTGTCATCCCTACTACTGTGTAGCACCCCCAGACTATCCTCCCACAGTCCCCACAGGCAGGGTAGCACCCCAGACTGTCCACCCACAGTCCCCACAGGCAGTGTAGCACCCCAGACTGTCCACCCACAGTCCCCACAGGCAGGGTAGCACCCCAGACTGTCCACCCACAGTCCCCACAGGCAGGGTAGCACCCCAGACTGTCCACCCACAGTCCCCACAGGCAGTGTAGCACCCCAGACTGTCCACCCACAGTCCCCACAGGCAGGGTAGCACCCCAGACTGTCCACCCACAGTCCCCACAGGCAGGGTAGCACCCCAGACTGTCCACCCACAGTCCCCACAGGCAGGGTAGCACCCCAGACTGTCCACCCACAGTCCCCACAGGCAGGGTAGCACCCCAGACTGTCCTCCCACAGTCCCCACAGGCAGGGTAGCACCCCAGACTGTCCACCCACAGTCCCCACAGGCAGTGTAGCACCCCAGACTGTCCTCCCACAGTCCCCACAGGCAGGGTAGCACCCCAGACTGTCCACCCACAGTCCCCACAGGCAGTGTAGCACCCCAGACTGTCCACCCACAGTCCCCACAGGCAGTGTAGCACCCCAGACTGTCCTCCCACAGTCCCCACAGGCAGTGTAGCACCCCAGACTGTCCTCCCACAGTCCCCACAGGCAGTGTAGCACCCCAGACTGTCCTCCCACAGTCCCCACAGGCAGTTAGCACCCCAGACTGTCCCCCCACAGTCCCCACAGGGTCGGGGTTCCAATGATAATTAAAGCACTCTATTATTGACGTTTCTAGAGCATTGATGGTAAGTTAGGTTCTCAGGGATCGAACGCCTGACCCCACTTAGAATACAGTAGTCATTTGCCATTTTGCATTCACTGTCCTCCCTGTCCCCAAAGATGCTTAAGAGAGCTTCAGCGAAACGCATATTTTAGCGACACGTCACATTAGGCTTATTAAAATTACAACTTGTGGAAATGAATTATTAAGTTTCATTCCTAAGTGAGATACATAAATACAGAGAATATTTGTACTTGATTCATTGATCTAACCTTTTGGTCATGTTAGAGTGTACACGCACGCACGAACGCACGCATGCATGCACACACACACACACACATACACATGCACAGCATGTCAGAGAACCCACAAGGATAAGAGGCAATGACGAACCAGCGAGACTCGACCTAGTCTTCACTCTGAACGACTCCGACATAAGAGAAATCGGTTTTGAGGACCCAGTAGGAATGAGCGACCACAGTGTACTGGTGTTTTGAGTACTTGATTGAAGAAGGGTTATTGAACTCGAGGAGGGATACAGAAACCAAAAGGTTAGCATACCGAAAGGGAAACTATGAGGGGATAAGAAAATTCCTAACAGATATAGCATGGGAAACAGAGCTCAGGGGAAAGACGGCCCAAGATATGATGGATTACATCACACAGAAGTGCAAGGACGCAGCAAACAAGTTTGTCCCAGTCCAAAAGGAAAACAGAGAAATGAAGATGAGAAACCCATGGTTTAATCAGAGATGTAGGCTAGCTAAGCAGCAAAGTAAAAGGGCATGGAAAAACTATAGGAATAACAGGACACTGGAGAGCAGAGAAAGATACCAGAATGCCAGGAATGAATATGTCAGGATGAGAAGAGAGGCAGAAAGACAATACGAAAATGACATCGCAAGCAAGGCAAAGACTCAGCCTAAATTGTTGCATAGCCACATCAGGAGAAAAACAACAGTAAAGGAACAGGTTATGAAATTAAGGATAGGGGCAGAAGGATTCACTACAAATGACAAGGAAGTGTGTGAGGAACTGAATAAGAAATTCCAGGAGGTCTTCACCTTAGAGCAAGGATAAATTCCAGAGATAAGTGAGGGAATAGCTAACCAGGAACCACTGGAAGACTTTGAGATTACCAGCGGGGAAGTAAGGAAGTGTTTACTAGAGTTGGATGTGACAAAGGCTATAGGCCCAGATGGAATCTCCCCTT